CTGATCGAGGTCTTGAGGTGTGGTAACCGTAGTATAAGCGGAATAATTGACTCCGGGCCGTTGAATTATTTGAAAAATAATGCACACCACTCCGCTTTGCATCGTGGCCGCATCACCACCTCGGGTGTGCATTATTTTTCTAATAATTCAACGGCCCGGAGTCAATTATTCCTTACTTAATTTGAATGCACAATGAAAAATCATGATTTCTGAAAATTGTAAAAAAATTTGTTATATAGATATATACACATACATATACTGTATATAATTATATACTGTATATATATATACACACACATTACATAATGTTTACTTTTTGTTTAGATAAGTTGAATTAATTACATGTATTATCAATATTATTTAATTTATTAAACTAACACTAGCACTCTATATTCTATTTCTATTCTATCTACTTGTTTTTCTTTTTATTTATTAACTTGACCCTCCAGCACTAGCTTTATTCTATTCTATTATTTATTTTTATTTATTTATTATATATATATATATATAAACTTGCTACGAGTACTGTTAGACTAACCGGAACTTTTCACAGCACTTATAATATATTGTTGCTCCTTTGTTGGTTTGATGGCTTCTATTGTCCTCATTTGTAAGTTGCTTTGGAAAAAAAAAATATTCTGAATGATTTAAATGTAAATAACCAAACAAACAAAATTGTACGCTTTATACAGTACATGCACTTGTCTAATATAACAGTAAATTGCTGTGCAATCTTTATTAATATAAAAGTCAATATAATGACTAGAAGACCTACTATTATATTATTTATTTTAATATACCAATGCATATATAAAGTGAGAAAAACCTAACAGTTTATTTGTGTTCCGTTTAATTCGGCATTGTGAAAATGAGAACATCTGGGCTAATCAACCAGACACAGCGAGTCGCAGTCAGATGACAGGTGGCTTTTTCATGCTCGCACTCTTTAAAGCCTGTCTGAGGTCGACTAACTGATCACAGACAGACCAACTGTGGACTGACTCACTTCCTGTTTGCGCCAGAAAAGACAGCGATGCGCAATTAGCGCTGATGCTTGTAAAGTCAAAGTGGCTAAACGGTGGCCATGACACCATCCAGACTCATTACCTCCTGTGGAGGTCAGACAGGGCTGCGGTGTTTTTCTTAAGATGGCTAATTGCGCTCGTGTTAATGTTTCGTTACTTCATTTGTCGGCGGTGAGCGCAGACTCGGGCTGGGCTTCGTGTGGCTTCGCAAACGAGAGGAGTAATTCGACGAGCTTCACTTTTTCCTCATCGTGCGCTGGGGTTATTATCTAGAAGCCCGTTTTAAGAGGTTTTCACAGACCAGACTGCAGATGTTGAGGTGACAAATTCTGTTACTGTCGGATCTATGTCGATTCCAACACCAACAGAGCGGAAAACCAGATCGGAATACCTCGTATTCGTTGAAGTTGACGTCACCGAACTTTCCCTGCTGCAGACGGTGCACGAGGTCCACCTGCTCATCCGACAGACGGATATCAGCCCCCGTCATCTTGTCTTGGACGGTGCGCCTAGTAATGACAGACAGAATGAGCGTTAAACAATTACAGGGGTTGAATGAGTTTAAATGGATGTTCCAGATGCTCCTCACCAGTAATCGGGATTCTCCATCTTGTCGAGAAACTCATCCAGCTCATCTTTGTTTCTGATTGGTTTAAAGATCTTCTTGCCTTCCAGATCGTATCCGATGTGGGGATAATCCTTGTACCACTCCATAGGGATGTTGCCGACGGTGTTACGGATGTCCTGTGAACGAACAGAGAAAGTGATAAAGACCAACAGGGAAACTCATCAAATTTAGATAGAGCAGATCAACACCACTGAATATTTTGCATTTCTCTAGTACCTGCAGATTAAGACTAATTAGTATTAAAGCAAGCCAAAATTTGTGTCAATCTTGGACATGCCCGTATGCAGCAATTTCTTCTGCTTCTGTCTACTCTGAATGGGAAAAGATTAAAATCTAGACTAAAAGTATTTGACAAGATCACACTGAAAGTGTTTTATTTAAAAATGTAATGTCATGTTTGCCTGATGTATTATTGTTCCCATTATTTATTCTTGATATTTAAGTGGAGTCTGTGGATTGATTGATTAATTATAATTACCTGATGTATGTCGTCTGTTATATAATCACTGAGAAAAAGAATTGTCTCACTATTTTCAAGTCTATTTTATCACCTGCTTTGATTCTAATAAAAGACTTAATGAGTTCACATTTAAAATTAGTAAAAAAAACATTAATGATTTTGGAGAGAAAACAAAGAAAAACAGAATTTTTTTTAGATTAGTGACCTAGAGATGCAGAACCACAAGCAAACATATAAAATAAAACATTAAATTAAATATTAATAATATTATAGAATATAATAAATATAGAACATTATATTGATATAATTATATAATATAATAAAGATGAATAAAAAGAAAATTGTAGTTGAAAAAAAATGCAACAAATATATTGACATATGTAAGCAAACATAAAAAATATGCATAAAATATATTTTTTAAATTGTGTAAATTGTTTAAAAAATATTAATCACACATATGAAGTTGGAAAAATGTAAAGAAATATTTATCAGTGACTTGGAATGTGCAGAATTGTAAACAAATATAATCACAATTATTATAATTTAATATAATTAATATATTAAATATTTTAGACATAAGTGTTATTTATATATATATATATATATATATATATACACACACACACATACATACACATTTTATGTGTACTCTGTATTGTCTAATATAATATTTAATATAATGTACATAAAATATTAATACATATTTAATATAAAATTATATTGATATAATACAGAAAAAATGAAATGAAAAAGTTTTAAAAAATAAATACATGATTAGTGACGTGTAAATAGTACTGAAGCATAAATATAAAGTATTACATATTATAGAAAACAATATAAAAAGCAAAAATATTAGAAAACTAAAACACTCAGTTACAGAGTAAATCATTCAAACACTCAGCAAATCAATGTGTAAAGCAGTTAAGTCACATAAAACTGATGAATCAGAAGTGAGTGAGTAAAACAAAAGTTTTGTATAACCACAAAATTATCATATTGTGATCCAGATATCAATACATCATTGTACCATCAGCTGATTGCCAGCCCTAGTAGACTAGTTCTGCTAGTCACACTGAACAGCTCTGTCATTCCCTCGACCTCCTTTACTAGCAGTCACGGTCGGGTTACAGCTGTGCGTCAGGAAGGCCTCAGTTCTGCAGGTGCAGAAAACCGTCCGCTCTTTATTCAAGCTCACTAACCCGCCCACTTTACAGTACGCCACAAGAACATCACACCGCTAGGACTGCTAATAAACCAAGCAGAGCTTTGGTCTGAAAATAGAGATTTCTTTGTCTGGGAAAGACGCGCACACACACAGTCTCGCTCGCTCGCACAAACACACACTGGTAACGGCAGACAGCTGAAAGTTCTCAGAGGTTGCGAGCACCACTTTAAAGCGAGTCCTACACCTGTGAGTGATTTCTATAAAAACACCCCTACCATATCCAATTAGGTCTGAGTGGGCAGCGCTGTCACGCTTTCACACACAGCCGACAGCAGCTGCGGAGGCCACGCCCACACGCCACTCATCTTCAAAGGCTCGCATCTGATTGGCTAATGCCGACTACCTCACAGACATCTGATTGTAATGTAATCTAAATGTCTACGAAACATATTTACAGTAATCCTGATGTCTGGCCGACTGAAGTGCTTGTGTTGTCTGGCGCGACTGGCATCCTTGCCAACTTGAAGGAATCAGTGCCAAAACGGCTAAAGAAAGACAGAAGGAAAGTAAGATTTGCTAATCTGATACTTCCTGTGTGAAGGCGTCACAGATTGTCACTGGACCTTCACACAGTTTTCAAAAAGGAAGAATTAGGGACCCTTACAGTGCTTCTAAGCATTGAGACAACTAGTATTTTAGGCATTTAAACAGTGCGAAACCAACTACTGCACAACCAAATGACTTCCAACTTTTCAACTGAAGTTAAATATTTATTATTAGTGATTTAAAATCATGAGGAATCATATGTAAGCACATAAAAATATATAATATATTAAATATAATTTAATAAAATCATATTTTACATTTTAAATTACACAATATACAGTAATATTATACGCTACTGGTCAAAAGTTTTTTTAATTTTTTAAAATTTGTATTATGTATTTGCTTTTTTTCCCTCTTATGCTTATCAAGGCTGCATATATTTGATAAAAAATGCAGTATGCAATAAAAAAACAGTAAAACAGTAATATACACATACTCGCATACATATGCAATATTATGATTAAATATATCAATATAACAGAGAAAAACAAGAAAATGGAAGGCAGCTTTTTTTGAAAGACAGATTTTGTTGCAACAAATGAATAACAAATAAAACAGTGGAATATATCTTCATATTAGAATATTCAGCAGAAAATAATGAATATTAATATAATACAAGAAAAAAATATATTTAAAAAAATGGGGGGAAAAATCATTTATGATTAGGGACCTAGAAATAGTGCAGAATCTTAAGCAAGTAATAAAATATACTAAATATTATATTAAAATATAATACAATATTTTTGAATTATATTTAATATAATATAAAATAAAAAAGATAATGTAATATAAGATAATGTACAGTAATATAATGGTATTATATTAATATAATGGAAAAAATATTCAGTGGGATAAAATGTAGGTTGGGAATTGATTTAACCGCAACATATTTAATTTAATTTTAATTTATGCATTTAGCAGACAGTTTTATCCAAAGCGACTTACAGTGCATTCAGGCTATACATTTTTTTACCAGTATGTGTGTTCCCTGGGAATCGAACCCACGACCTTTTGCACTGCTAACACAATGCTCTACCACTGAACCACAGGAACATTGTACTGAACATTGAACATATCAGGCTGGGATATGATTATTATTGATACAATTATTTACAATTATAATTCCTGTTTTACAGGAATACAATTTTTCCTGCCTCTATTGTCTTAGTTATGGTGAAAAAATATTTATAAATTATGAAAAATATTTTCTCTAAGCCTCGTTCACACAGACAGCTGTCTATCGGATCACATCACTGGTCATTTGCATTGAACTTCAAGAGCTCAGCTTTATGCAAATGAGCAACAGTTGCTGTCGCTCACAATGCCGGAAATAATGGGTGCTTTTTTGCTGCAAATCGGTGTTATGAATTATGCACAATACAATTGTTGTATTTGAACACTACAGATTGCAAGATCAGAAGAAAGGGTGCTTGTGCTTGCAAGGTCAACAGGGCTCTCTCAGTGGGACGGTCCAAGAGAACTGGACACAAAAACATTACACGCACAGCTCACCTGTTTTAAATTGAGCTGCTGAACGCTGCCTTTATTAAGTGTCAGTCAGTCCAGAATCTGCCCGTTACCGCACGCTCTTATCAACTTCCTGTTTAGATTGCGGTGGGGACGGCGAGATGGGAGATTGACTGCTGATCGTGTGTGCGTTTTTGACAGAAGCTTCGAGGAAAGATGGTCAGAAACCTCGCTGCTGGCAGCCTGCACCTCTACGCCGGATATTTCCACACCACATCATTAAACTCCCAGAGACAAGTGGAAAAAATTCCCTCTACACAAACCACCTGAGAAATCAGACTGTCAATCCAGAAATATATGCGCAGAGCTTTAGAGGACGGTCTTCGTGACATTTATCAGCTTTGAAAAAAGCTCTGGCTGAATCTCAATTCACATACTTCACCTACGCACTGAAAGTACATACTTCACTGCTGATGGGAAGTACATACTTTAGAGTATGCAGTGCAATTGTAGGCCACTATTGGGATTTAATTCTACTTCATAAAACTGCGTCTTCATATTACCAACCCCATATACATACCTATCAGCTTCTTCATGCAATGTTACCATCTAATCATTAGCATCTAACCAAATTCATTACCTAAAACTCCATTTATACATCACTTTTAACATTCATACACTAAAGCAAACTGCTTCAGCCTTGGTTTTTTGGCCATTTATTGCATCTCTTATTTACACAAGTAGGTGTGGCCATTAATTTCAAAAAGCATGCATGAATATATAGTTTAAAGAATCAATTTCTAATAGTACACTACTTAAAATGATTATTTAAATAATTATTTATCATTATAAAATCTTTAAATAAATAAATCAACAAACAAACATGTGAAAAACTTGTTGCATCTTTCCCAAAAAGACTCATGGCTGTATTAGATCAAAAGGGTGCTTCTACTAAATACTGAGCAAAGGGTCTGAATACTTAGGACCATGTGATATTTCAGTTTTTCTTTTTTAATAAATCTGCAAAAATGTCAACAATTCTGTGTTTTCCTGTCAATATGGGGTGCTGTGTGTACATTAATGAGGAAAAAAAATTAACTTAAATGATTTTAGCAAATGGCTGCAATATAACAAAGAGTGAAAAATTTAAGGGGGTCTGAATACTTTCCGTACCCACTGTATACTTGCTGATTATATGTAGTATATATAAATGACTCCAATATACATACATGGCCTTCAAAAAAGAGGGTCTTAACATGTTTTTTAAAATTTTTTAAATAATAATAAAAAAGGAAGTGCAGATTGTAATGACTTAATGTTTTGCGCTTTACGACATCTCTGCTAGGATGCCTTACCCATGAAACAGATTCTTTACATGACAACATCAAACAGAGTGGGCCCACGTCTCACAAAGGTGC